TAATATTGGTTTTGGATAGAAACAAATGGCTGAATATTATAAAATACAGGTGGAAGCACTGGATGCAGCATAAATGTCATTTATTCTTGTGATAACAAAGCTGAATATTCAGCAGCCATTACTCCAGTCTTCAGTGTCACATCATTCTTCAGAAATCATTCCAATATGCTGCTTTGGTGCTCAATAAACATTTTTTATTATTATTATCAATGCTGAAAGCAGTAGTGTTGCTTAATAGTTTTGTGGATATTTTTTTCTTTAATGAATATTAAAAAACAGCATTTGTTTGAAACAGAAAACTTTAACTAAATGCATGTTGTGCTGAATAAAAGTATGAATTTAATGAATGGCTCCAAACTTTTGAACAGTGGTATATATTTTGCCAGTATGCGTATTCCCTGGGAATCAAACCCACGACTTTGTTGTTGCTAGTTCTACACACGACTACATGTTGAGCAAGTTTCTAGACAGGTTATGACAATAAATTCTTTTTAAATCTGTTTGTATACACTATTGAGTTTAACATTGAATTTAACAAAAAACACACTTTAATCCAGAGTTGAGCCATTAAAAAATGAAAGAAGATTGGAATGCCAATGATAGGTCACTTAATTGTCGATCAGTCTGTGTTTACTGGCAAAGGATTGTGTTAAAAAGCTGTCCACTCAAAAGGCAAATTAAGCGACAAGTGTTCAATAAACGACAAGATGTATACAACAACAAGACAGCCGTCAGTCTCATTATATTCATATTAAAACAGAATGAGATTGTGTGGAAAGAGCAGATGGTCCAGAATTTAAACACAGCTTAGTATTGCAGAGCCAATATCAGCTATTCGATTCCACAGTATACCCACAAAGTCAAAACAGAAAAAAGACAGAGACAGAACAAGTTGACTCGGCTGGACAAAGGTCAAAATCCCGCACTGCGAACGCAGGCAATTAAACTAATGATGCCAGGGGTGTGTGCAGCATTAAGCAGCTAAAATGGAGTAAAGATCACTTCATTAAGGCCCAAGAACCTGATGTAATTAGGAGTAGGGCCAAGATTAGTGTCTGTCAATGGTTTTGCCTGGGATTTGCGGGTAATAGAGTTATCATTGAGGCTCAAGGAGTGTTACATTACACTTCGGAATAAACAAAAACAAATTAGCAGCATCGTCCAATAATGGGTTATCTTGTCAGAGCCTGACAGAAATCCATGCCCTATAACACAGTGTTAATTTTATGCATCACTGACAAGCACCTTCACAATCAATGGAGGTACTATAAAGTCAGGGAGACCATCAATTCAAGTTCAGGACAGGTAGACAAGGAGGTTTATGAGGCCAGAGTGTATTGGAACCAAAAGTATTGTATTGTTGAAATCATGTTTTGAACTTTAAAAACTTTCCTGACCAATTAAATGTCTCGGTCCATATAATTACAGCATCAGTATGAAATGAATAACATGGGATTATCTGAATACACTTGTGAAGTAATACTTTGCCTTGTTATACTTCAAGTTTCAGATTCCACAACAAAGATGAATTAAACTAATAAATGTATCATTTAATTTAGGCCACCTCCTTTATGGTTTCATATAAAATATATGGGAATATACTGGAAAATATAATGCAGTATAACTCACAATATATATTTTTCTCATAATTGTGTACATATATTGAATATACATGTTCCCATATGTTAATATAGCACATATATTCATATATTTATCAATATATGGAAAAGGGCAGTTCCTCATGTATAATAACCAGTGTTGGGGAGTAACTAGTTACTTGTAACAGAATTACGTAATTTAATTACAAAATAAATGTAACTGATGTCTGTTACAGTTACTAAGAAAACATTGAATTAAATTACAGTTACGTATGAAAATGTAAACAATTACAAAGGGGGTATGTGATATGACTGATTTGTTTCCCAAATTGCATCGACTACTTTAAAACATGAGACACCAACATTTCAGGAGTTTAGGACACATGCATATTCGATAATTGTTTTATTTCCTAGTTAGGTTTATGTATATGCTTTTTTTAAGATTAACTTTTTTTCCAAGGCATTGTTAGATGCCAGTGTTTCCTGTCATAGCTATGCAAAGATTTGATTTCAAAAACAGTATCATAACTATTATACTAGAATTTTGGCTTTTTATTTTTAAACTATGATTATGATTTTAAATCTGTATTGAACCTCAGAGATCTCAACGTAAAAAGAGGTGTGCTAAAGTCTAATTTTGTGGTGGCTGTGCTTTAAAATTACAATTTTAAAACTTAATTCGAGTGAAGAAGGATTCTGAAAGTCTGACAGTAATCAGCGATGAGTACTGTAAGGTTAACCCGGCCTGCTTTAAATGTTTCAAAATGATTAACAGTTGGAAACATTCATTAGGAATTTAGAAAAGCAATCAAATGCAATTGGTTATATTACTTTAATAAAGTAACTGAAATAGTTACGCTACTTATTACATTTTAAATAGGGTAACTTGTAATCTGTAACCTATTACATTTCCAAAGTAACCTTCCCAAGACTGATAACACAATACATTTTTCTGTATATTTTAAATATACACTAAATAATTCAATATATTGATTTGTAATATATATAAAGAAATATCATTTCTTTGCATTTTTCAGTATTACTGACAGGCATTATAATAGATCAGGGTCATGTGAGAACATCTAATCCGACTGCATATTACCTATTGTCTCATTTAATTTTAGTGCCTGAACCTCTGCTCCAGCAAGAGAAAACCCTCAATTAATAATATATGACAATTTATCATTCATGGACAGCACAGTCAAATGAAGATTTGTATTATTAGGTATAAGTCTTCCTTATTAAAAGGGAAAACTCCTAAATCAAATGAAGCCACATCATTACATCTTGGGTTGTTTTCTCTGGGTTTACAC